CCTTAAGGACTGGATACTCTATTAATGCCTGCTTTAACTTCTTCATGGCAGACGTGCAGTCCTTATCCCACTTCCAGATGGTCTCCTTTCTCAGCAAATCTGCGAAAGGGCGCACCGATGGTAGAGAAGTTCCTCACGAATAGTAATTAGCTAAGCCCAAGAACGAGCGCAACTCTGTCAGTGTACGTGGCGTGGGGCAATCTCTAATCGCTGCGATCTTGCTATCCTCCGGCTTGACGCCGTCTCCGTCTAAGACGTGGCCTAGATACAAAACTTGGGTCTTCGCCCAATCGCACTTCTTTGCATTGATCTTGAAGTTAGCTTCCCTCAGCTTCTCCAAGACCTGCCTGAGATGACCCTGATGCTCTTCGAGGGTCCGGCTAAACACTAGAATATCATCTAGGTAAACTACAACAAATCTGTGTAACCACGGCCTAAACAAATCATTCATACAGCGCTGGAACGTAGCTGGCGCATTGGTTAGTCCAAAGGGCATCACTATAAACTCGTAATGCCCGTACCTAGTCCGGAAGGCTGTCTTATACTGATCATCAGGATGTACTTCTATCCGATGATATCCGGACTTTAAATCTATCTTAGAGAAATACTTGGCCCCCTGCAATCGATCTAAGAGATCGTCTATCCTCGACAGTGGCTCAACATTCTTTACGGTAATAGCATTCAGACCCCTATAGTCTATGCACATTCTCAACTCTCCCTCTTTCTTAGGAACAAAGAGGACAGGCGCTCCGAAAGGAGACAAACTGGGCCTAATCCAACCCTTCTCGAGGAGCTCGTCTAACTGCTTGCGAAGCTCCTCTAACTCCCGCGGGGACATCCTGTACACCGCACCCTTAGGAGTTCTACTGCCAGGCTCTATCTCAATACGATGCTGAATGGGTCGCGGCACCGTGCCTGTCGGCGGCTCAGTCAAATCTCTAAACTCTTCCAATAGCTTGGCAATCGCAGGGTCCATTGGCCTTTCTTCCGTAGGCTCAGTCACTGGCCTAACATAGGCAACAAAAACATGTTCCTCCAACTTCTCCTTTTTCACCAGTCTGGCGAATGCGGGGGCACTAAGGCAGCAATGCGCCAAGGAATTCTCTACCCCTGACACATGGAACAGACGGGCAGTCTTGGCCTCGCCTGACGAACTAGGGAGCCTACACTCGTGCTCCTTCAAATGGAGCGTGGCCCCGACTGCCTCTCCACAATCCATTCCCATAACAATATCAAAGGGGAGGCTGTCTTCTACGAGGAGAGTCGGGGAGTGGAGAATCTTTTCCACTTTTCCATCTTTCTCTAGGCGGAAATACGCTTGGACTCCCTCTACGTAATCCTCTACAACCATAGTGCGATTGTCCGCGAGGATACTAACTATAGGGTCTTGGACTTTAAGTCCCAGCTTCAACTTCTGCAGCGCTTTCTTACTAATATAGCTGCGGGTGGCCCCTGAGTCTACTAGGGCCCCTACTCTACTTCTAAAAACCTCTGCATCTAGCAATATAAGTTGCCCTTTATTCTCCTTCTTCATCTTGGCCCAGGCGGGCATCCTCTCCTTCAATTCTTCGGCCACGCCTGTGAGGGAGGTGTCTAGCGAAACTCTAACACAAGCAGTTTCAGGACAGTTGTCTAGACACCGGCCTGCAACCTCTGCCGTAGGCACGTGGTGTGGGAGTCTCCTGCCGGCTAGCGCTATTTTCCCCACAGGGCCTAGTGGTAGGGGCAGTTGCTACCCCTACCGGCGGCTGCCTTTTGGCCCTTGGGCAGCTGTTTGGGTCTCTTTGTACTTAGGACAATATTTGATGATGTGGCCCGGGTCACCGCAGAAAATGCATTGGCCCCGGTCCAATCGTTGTTGCCATAAAGCCTGGTCCAGACCCAAAGATTCCCAAGGCCTACCCTGCGGTAGCCCTGGGTGCCATCCTCCTACTCTATAGGGAGACCTATTCCTAGGACGGTTTTGCGAGGGACCTTGACCCCTGCCTCCCGCTTGGCGGTTTCCTCCTCTGCCGCCAACCCCCTGATCGCCCTGGAACCGGTTCCCTGAGGCCCGCCCCCCTTGGCCCTGGCCTCTTCCTCCTTGCGGCCTCCCTCTAGCCGCGACAGCAGCGTAGGATCTCCCCTGGCCCACACCGCTGTCCTCCTCCTCTAGCCCCCACTCAATCTGATCGTAGGGGATCTCATCCACACTACCTTCATCTAAAGTCAGGACAAGGCTGTCCTTAGTCTTTACCTGCCCTGAGATAGTGCGGCCTTTCCATTGCTTTCCCCTGTCCAAGTCCTTGTGCCAGAAGGTAGACAGGGACACGGACTTCGCTTCAAAAGCCACCACTTCACGGCTAAGGGAATCGTAAGTGGTGGCAGGATCTTCGCTCTTCGCGAAGAACTGCCCTCGAAAGGCTTCGGGCATAGCCCGATAAAAGAGGTTGACCAACTGGCCCTCTGTGACCTCGTGGTCAGGGACGGCCACCAACTCATCCATTGTACCCTTGAGTGCCCTAGCACTCTTCCATTTACGAGAATGGATGGTTTGGAGCTTGTCTGAGGCCTTAACACTGTGAGCGACGTCTGCGAATCGCTCGCGCAGCAATTTCAGGAATTCGGTGAGGGACGTGAACGAGGAGTACGCAACCGGATCATCACTATAGTTGGCAGCGCGGACTATGGACCTTGCGAAGCTGGCGGCCTCATCTCTAAGCGCGTGGATCGCAATTAGAACTTGCTGATCCGGAGAGACCTGTTGCAAATGCACATAGGTCTTAACGTTGGCCTCCCAGTTGTCAAAGTTCTCTTCCCTTTTTCCACCGTAGGAATCAGGGAATTTGACCTTGACCGGTTCCCGGCGAGGAGGACGTGCTTCCTCCTCCTTGGGGGCTGCCGCCTTGACGCCCTCAATGGCGCCAGCATAGAACCGTTCGGTCTTGTCGAGGCGGTGACCCACCTCGGCTCCAACAATGCCTACCAACTCACGAGCGAAGTCCCGAAAGCCCAACTTTATTGAACGCACAGCGATATGTTGACTCCTGCTAAAGTCATATTGGTCCGCCTGAATCTGTGCCAGGCGTGCGACGCTTCGGGCTATGACTCACATCTGGGCTGGGAGTTCAGTCTGGGCGGCTACTTGCTCCTCTAGCTTTTTCACCTCCTCTAATTCTTCCGCCGCCTCCGCTGCCCTGTCAACTCTCCTCTTCTTCTCCCTCATCACTGCTAATTTCCACTCCATCCTCTTCTCGTCTTCCAACGCCTGTCGTCTGAGGGGATCTTTCTCTGCATCCCAAGCCCTCATGGCAGCCTCCTGCTGATCTTGCGGGATGTACATACTAACTTCTTCCTCTTCTCCCACAGACAAATTGGCAACCCATTCGGATATCCTCTTCTCCAGGTCCCCACCATTGCTGCCACTGTGCTGCCCACTACTCTTTTGCAGTGGCGGACCTTCCTCTTCTTCATCCACCTCCTTCAACTTCTCTTCTTCTTCCTTTTTCAGCCTCTCTTTCTCCCTGGCCATCTCTTCTTCCATCTTCTTCAATTTGGCCGCCTGTTCCTCTTTCAAGGCCTTCTTCTTGGCCTCCTTTTTCTCCTTTCTCTCCTGCAGGATGGCGGCCATCTTCTCCTCCTCCTCCTTCGTGTATGGCTGGGTGGAAGTACCACCACGAGTGGGCCCTACTCTACACGCGAAGGTGGGCCAGAAGCCCAGAGGAAAGAGGAGACGCCAGAGGGTCCCCCAGAGAGAGAACCCAACCAGCAACCCATACATCGGATAGTCCATTGTGGCGTCAGGTGCACGACGGTGTCCCAATCCTTACCACTTAGACCTACCCGGACAAGCAGAAGAGCAATACTTTGGGCTATTTGGAAAAGATGTACACACGAATGGGAGAAGTCAGACTTGATGGGCATGAATTTACTGATAGTATCAAGGAACAATTCCAAACAGATATCAGAATTCAATGGGAACTCACCAAAGAAGAAATCCAACATCTCTCAAGGAAAAGGAAATTCTTAAACATATTACTGAATTTAACAAAGGCAAGTTTGGGGGGGAACAGGGAGGGAAGCTGGGGAAGGTTGATTGGGAAGGTGCCATTGCAAATGATGAAGATGTCCTCAACAAGAACTACAAGATCCATTTCAATGACTGGAGTTCAGTAGACCCTATGATTCCTTTACGTCATGCTTCTGAATCCCTGACTCTTTTCCCCCTAGTCATCTGTCAATGGTTCCTACCTCATGGTACAGTCCAACATAGAGGTATATGTTTCCCAACCACATAAGGGTAAGTTCAGAGTGTAAGATTTGGCGCCTAATAGACAGGTGAAGAGGCCCAAGTCATTATGACAATTATACTGAAATGGGACACTGGACCGGTTTTCCAGCAGGTGCAGCTCCCCACGAATAGATGGAGTGACCCAAGCAGCTGTATTAGCAAGGGATGCTCGTATCACCCTGGCTAATATAGTCGGTAATGTCTTCTTGGGAAAAAAAAAAAAAGGGTTTCTCTCCTAGGCAACAATGTAGGGCAAGTAGGTATGGCAGCACTGTCTCCAGGAAACACTGTGAGGTTAAATCCTCTTTTTCATTGAGAAGAGACGGTGGGAAGCCATCTTCCTCTCTCCACACAAATACCAAACGGAAGAAACAGCAATGTACCGTTGCTAGAGTCTACACAGAAAGAACAGAAAAGGGAGTATTGTTGTGCAAGATGGCTCACAACTTTGTTCTTCCAGCAACGGATCAGCCAAGAGTCAGTTGGCGCCTGGACTAGACGATGGAGCACAGCCGATTGAGAATGAGCAAGAACTGAAAAGGGAGAATGCAGCTGGCGCTTGGAATAGAGAATGTAGTACAACCGATTGAGAATGAGCAAGAACTGAAAAGGGAGAATTTAGCAATGGAGATAGTGGAGGTGGTGAACGGGAAGAATTACCCTCCCTTGTAGAGAGAGGGAGACGGAGAGGGGGAAGGGGGAGGGGACCAGGGGGTGGGGAAGGGGGAGATGACCTACTGACTGACTCTCTAAGATCCACTACTCACAACTATTCTAAGGCTGTCACTACAAAACCAAAAGCTGATCAGGAGGCATTTAAGGAGATCCCCCAAACTCCGTAGGAATTCTTTAACGTCGCAACAAGACGACGCGATCAGCTTGGATCCTCTGGCGATTTCAGCCCACAACTCAGCCCGTCCAGCCTCCTGTGCCACACCGAGCAGTCCGCCGGTCGGTACCGGTCCTTGGAGGGGTTCGTGTCCCTCCGGTCAGTTGAGTCGTCAGACACGGATCATCACCCTTCTGGGTCCGGTAGGGGAGTGGCTCAACCAGGCCTCAACACTTAAAGACGGCCTTCGTTTCAGCCCACAGCTCGAAGTTCGGACCCTCCACACTGAACTCAGTAGACCTGCCGGACAGTACCGGTCATTGGGCTAGACGAGTTGTTTAACAAGCGCTCGCCGCTCATGCCCAGGTCTCCAGATGCCAGAGTAGAGCTTTGGTCCTACTAAGCCCGTGCAGGTTTGGCAGCAAGGCCCTATCCTTCATCCACAGAGTCCTAACACCTAAGACAGAAGAGACTCAATGCAGTAAGAGTAGATAGACCGACTCAGCATGTATCGTCGGGTAAGTGCACATCCACAGGGTAAGGGGATAGGCTGAGGGCTCAACGAGATATCACTAACTCCAGCTTGGTCAAAGTCTTGGTCAGCAGCTCCGGTCAACGCCTTGGTCAACGCCGAGTCAACGCGGACAAGCCCCGGTCAACGCTTGGTCAACCACCCTGGTCAATGCCTGGTCAACCCTCTGGTCAAGCCTCTGGTCAACCCTTGGTCAACCCTCTGGTCAACGCCCTGGTCAACGCCTGGTCAACCCTTCACCTCGGCTATGGCTGCCGACACCTTCACCTTCGTCACCCTCTACTTCCCCGTCCTTCACTTTCTTTCTCTTCGCTTTCGCTGTACTTTTTTTTTTTTTTTTTTTTTGTGCTCGTCCCCGGCTATGTCTGTCTTCTTCTTCAATCTCCTCCTCCCACACTTCTTCAATCTCCTCCTCCCACACTTCTTCTTCTCTCTCCTTAGTCCCTCCTTCTCTGTCCTCCCTTCTCTCTCCTCCGGTACTCTGTGTTGATACTCCGCGGCTATGGCCGCCGTCTTCCTTCTCCACCGGACTCCACAGCTCGGCTCACAGGTAA